GTGTGTGAGTGCTGGATGATGGGTGTGTGTGGGTGCTGGATGATGGGTGTGTGAGTGCTGGATGATGGGTGTGTGAGTGCTGGATGATGTGGGGGGGGAAGCATTTTTTTTTACTTTATGTATATTTTATTCCCCCCTCCCTGCTTCTTACCTTGTCAGGGAGGGGGGAGATCGCCTGGTGGTCCGGTGGAGGGAACCAGCCGCTGCACACAGGAGCCATCACACACTGTGTTCCCTCTCCAGCTCTAACTCTCGCGAGACTCGCCTGTGCGGAGCGTTGCCATGGTAACAGCCGCGGGTCTCGCGAGAGTTATAGCTGGAGAGGGAACACAGCGTGTGCTGGCCCTTCTGTGCAGGTAGCAGGGCCGGTCCTGCAGGACTGGTAACGGGAACGGCGTTCCTGCTATGGAAAAAGTGCAAGAACGCCGTTCCCATGCGTTCCTGCAGGACTCGAGCCCTGTATTTGGGGGAACCACTTGAAGAATTCATTTGTGTTGAGCTATTTCAATTGCTTTTGTTTGATTTGTTCATTGCAAACAGCTGAAAGTCTGCAAATTTTGACAATAAACCTTATTTTCAATGGGGGTTGAATAATTTTGGTTACATCTGTAGAAGGCAAAGCTTGTAACCAAATAACCCCTCAAATCCTGGAGTAATACATTTCCAAATCTTGTTTATTTCATGTAAATAATTCCCAAAATTGGATGTAATGTAAATCTTACATTTAGAATCAACACCTTGGGGTTATCACATGGCTCATTGAATTTTTTTTAAATTCTTTATTTTTGGTCGTGCAAAAGAATACAAGGTAGCCCGCAATGCCACAACAGCAATTGCCGGCATACGTCAAAAACACAATGAAATAGTGAAACATGACAACAGTCGTAGTGAGCAATAGCATTACGTTTCTACTTGAGTAAACAGCACGGTATTTATAATAATGGTTTGGTAGTTAAACTACGCAGTTTCAATTGTAGAAATGAAAAATAAGAAATAAAAAATATACAATAGAGGTCAAATTACATGCTATGCAAGAAGCGGATCGATCAATGGCAGTGATATATTGGGAGGTACACGTTGGGCAAACAAGTGAGAGATCATTTTAATTTTTAGTGATCCCGCTTCCTACCGGGATGTGGAGCCCTGTTTGGACTAAGTAGTAGGCCCGAGAAATAGTACAGGGTGAGGGCACGTAAGTAGGACCACTGTGGTGTAGGGTAGCTTAAAATAGCGGATCCTTAAGGATCAAGTAACTTGGTATGGTGTCTCAAGCTTTTTAGTGAGGTAGCTCCGCCAACTGTTTATGTGTGGGTCAAGAAGAGCTGGAGCTGGGGGGGGGAGGGTAGGATGGACGTAATTAGGGTGGATAGGTGGGTCTCCTTTCGCCCATTGTCGACCCGTACGGTCGTTCCGCCGTATGCGGTATGGGGAGGGGAGTGGTTCCTAAGTAAAGCACAACGTTTTAACCTTAACTAAGACATAAAAATAAAATGCCGGTAACTTATTAGAAAAAGAGAGGGTACAGGTCCCAACACAGATGGTTCCGTGTTCAGGTGACAGGTGCGCCCTTTGGTCCTCGAGATGCTGGAGTGAACGGAACCACGGTAGCGGGGTTCCAGGTGGGGTTCGTGGGTCGAGGGTCAGGGCTCGGTTTCAGGGAGGACAGGATAGCGTCCATTTCAGATGCCTCCGTGACTCTGTGTTCCACACCATTATGTTGGAAAGTCAGCGCACGAGGTGTGCCCCAGTGAAACTTTATGCCTTGGGATGTAAGCGTGGATGCCAGTGGTCTCAGCGACCTCCTCCACTGCAACGTCGAGCGGGAGAGGTCAGCAAAGAACGTGAGGTCCATTTCTTCAAAGTGATATGGGGTCTTCCCTCTGGTAGCTTGTAAGATGGCTGCTTTGTCTTGCCCGTTTTGAAACTTAACCAGGAGGTCGCCGGTGGTTGGGGCTGTGTTGGACTGAGGCTTGGGTAGACGAAACATTCCATCCAGTTGAATGTTCTTTGCTGTTTTAGGGGGTAGTAATGCCATGAACAGCCTACGTAGGAAGTGTGGCATCTCTGCCATAGTGATGGAGTCCGATAGGCCTCTAATTTTTAGGTGTTTCCACCTCCTCTTATCTTCCAGAATTGCTAGCTGGCTGTCAAAGTTAGTCTGCGCCTTGGTGAGGTCCCTCACCTGCTTCTGCAGGTCTGCTATTTGAGGGGTGTGCTCCTCCACTGCTTTTTCCACCGTGATTAAACGGGCTGTGAATCCCCTGACATCTTCCCGTACTTGGGAGATATCTGCAGAGAGACTTTGTCTGAGGTCAGCCAAGAGTTTAGTAAGGATGGCTGTGGTTAGTGGGATTGAGCTGCTGTCCACCTCCGGAGATGGCCTGGGGGGTCTTTGGAAGCCAAGGGCTGCTGGGTTGTGCGGGGTGTATTCTTCTGAGACGTCGGAGAAGTCGTCCAGTACATCCGCCATTTCCAGCTCGCTTGCACCGTGCGGCCTTCTAAAGAGTTCACTGATATCGGCCATGTTCCCGGGCCGGTCCGGCCTCGGTTTTTTATTCTTCTGCCCCATCTGCTTACCGACACAGTTAGCTACGTCCAGGGCAAATTGGGTTCCAGAAAGGTACCTTTTTTCAGGCTTTAATAAGCTTTTCCGCGGACATGCGACCGCTCCGATCGTGAGTTGGCTCCGCCCCCTGCATAAACTGTATTTTGAGGTAAATAACGTGAATGACATCACACAAAAAAAATCTGCAATAATAACAAGAAACTAACAGCGTAAACTAACTAACTAACTAAACAACTAAGCTAATTATGAGAAATTACTAAATTGATTAAGCAAATAATCCAATTAAGTGGAAACATCGGGAGCCTACATACAAACATCAACTCAAGTTATTTGATTAACACATCATTGTTTACAAGACAGACCTAAAGTGTTAATTGTTAATGTCCTAGTCTTCTCAAAGTCTGAAAATATTTACCCTTAAAATAAATGTGTCATTACACTACCAACATCAGTACTCTAATTACCCAAAGTACATGAATGTGTGATAACAACCAAAACGCTTTTTATTTTACCCTGTCAAGTATATCCCAATTACAGTGTGTGTGTGTGTGTGTGTTTTGTTAAGGTTGAACCACTTACAAATTGCTGTATGGGTCTTATATACACTTTGACAGCACAGGGCATTGTGCCAGTTTGTGCTCAATAACCCCCATTCACATTAGTGGTGACATGGAAAACCCTGCATGTGGTCTCTAAATACATCCCAAGTCATGGATGCCCACCAGTGTATACTCCCCATCCTCTGAGCGGTTTCTTACAGCTGTTCAACCATCAATTAAGTCTTATCACGTGGTGTGATATGGTTTTTTAAATTATTAATAGGGAGGGATCTGATCCTCGTCCTCCTACCTTATGATATAGCTGTGTCAAGCACACATAAAGACTGATGGACCAGAATTCCAAAAAGGAAGTGCTTTCTTTTTTTAAGGTCCGATGTGTGATATCGATCCTTTTATATTGGTATTATTGCATATTTGTAGCTAACACAGCTAATGGGATCCTAGACAGGATACGAGTGGACAAGCAGTGGGTAAAAATGGCTGTAGGAATGAATGAACTCTACCCCACACTTTCCAATTAGGCATGTTCATGGAGGACCAGCACTTAGTAGTCAAACCTGGGTATGGAAATCTAAATGTGCTAAGTCTTCACAGCAATTATGAACAGTTGGTCTGACTTTGAGTAAAAGTACTACAGGAAATCCAAAATGTAATGGATCAAAATAATTACATTTTTTAAACTCCTTCCAGCTACCCATTCTATATGAAAACTCATGTCTTCAGTCGTGTGATATCATCATTTAATAAAATTAATAGATTTGATATATGTATGTATATATGTATGTAGGTATATATTTATAATGTATGTCATATAATTATAAATACATACACACTAATGATCAGTGTTCTTATTCTGGCACTGAATATCTTAGCTATAATTAAATGAGGTCTACAGAAGATGAATGTGCTGATGTCATGCATGCGTAAAGAAAACACATTCAAAGGAAGGTGTAATAATTTGTCTCACTATTATACACTGAAAAATTCAGCAGCTCCCACAGGGAGGTGTAAATTAACCGCTATAAACTTAACAAAAAAAAAATATAATCAGCATTTTAACATTGTTTAATTAACCATGTTGTCTCTGTTTGTCCATTGCAAATATTTACTGAATTTCTTGGTTTAATAATTGTACATCCTCATGCTGCTCCTCTGTCATGATACCATATGTCTGGGAACTTGCAATGTAGAGAAGAGCTAAAATAAATATAGAAAAAAACTATTACTAGTCAACCAGGTTTAATAGAAATATATATATATATATGTATATATATATATATATATATATTTATATATATATATATTGTGAGATATGAAATTTAAATATCTGAAGCCAAGTAAATTAGCTAGAATAAACAAAGACAAGTCATTGTCAGAGGAGCCATAATTCATAGAAGCCATAAAACGTGCCGAAGATTTCCAGACTAATAGGTAGACACCAGTAAAGTGTGAACAAAAATACTCTACATACTAGCTATGTTTCCTGTTACTATAGCATAAAATTTTACATAATTCACTTTGAATTCCTGACATTTAACACATTAATGAATAAAAATGTATTAAAGATGTGTGTAGTTGTTTAGGAAACCACACATGCATGCTTATGTACAAATATGACAGAAGAGAATATATAGTCATTAGTTGGTGCTAGCTACAGTAGGTGCCTTTATATGGATAGAAACCTAGAAACATAGAATATGACAGCAGATAAGAATCATTTGGCCCATCTAGTCTGTCCAATTTTTTAAAATACTTTCATTAGTCCTTGGCCTTCTCTTATAGTTAGGATAGCCTTATGCATATCTCACACATGCTTAAACTCCTTTACTGTGTTAACCTCTACCACTTCAGCTGGAAGGCTATTCCATGCATCCACTACCCTATCAGTAATGTAATACTTCTGAATATTATTTTTAAGCATTTGCACCTCTAATTTAAGACTGTCTTCTTGTTGTGGTAGTTTTTCTTCTTTTAATTATTGTTGATTCCCCTTATGTATCATATCCCCCCTGTCTCGTCTTTCCTCCAAGCTATACATGTTAAGTTCCTTTAACTTTTCCTTGTAAGTTTTATCCTGCAATCCATGAACCAGTTTAGTAGCCCTTCTCTGAACGCTTTCTAAAGTATCAATATCCTTCTGGAGATACAGTCTCCAGTACTGCGTACAATACTCCAGATGAGGTCTCACCAGTGTTCAAGTAGCATGAGCACTTCCCCCTTTCTATTGATTATACCTCTCCCTATACAACCAAGAATTCTGCTAGCATTTCCTGCTGCTCTATTACACTGTCTGCCTACCTTTAAGTCATCAGAAATAATCAGCCCTAAATACCTTTCCTTAGATGTTGAGGTTAGGACTCTATCAAATATTCTGTTCTCTGCCCTTGGGTTTTTACATCCAAGATGCATTATCTTGACACTTATCCACATTAAATGTCAGTGGCCACAACTCTGACCTATTTTCTAGTTTACCTAAATCATTTGCCATTTGGCTTATCCTGGAACATCATCCTTTTACATATCTTAGTATCATCAGCAAAAAGACATACTGTTAGGGACCAGGAACCAGACAAAGACAGAACTGGATGCAAAAACACCTTTATTAATAAATAGAAAATAAAGTAATCACCAAAAGCAAAGTCCAGGAGGCAAGCAGGGGTCAGGCACCAAAGCGGGTAGTCAGACGAGCCAGGATCAGGAGAACGGAGAGCAGCGAAGTCAGGAACAAGGCCAGAGTAAGGAACCAGGAACTCACAGGAACAAGGAGACTTCTGGGGAACAGGAAACCACGCAAGGGCAAGGAGGTACTGGGATTAGTTGCTTAAATAGGCTGCCTGATTAGCAGCAGGGCTGGTTCCTACTATCAGGTGAGTAACCGTGGCAACATACTGAAGGAGCTGCAAAGAAACCCTGACACATACCTTACCACCAATACCTTCTGCAATATCACTAATAAAAACATTAAAGAGAATGGGTCCAAGTACAGATCCCTGAGGTACCCCACTTGTGACAAGCCCAAGCTTCGAATATACTCCATTGACTACAACCCTCTATTGCCTGTCACAAAGCCACTGCCTTACCCATGCAACAGTGTGCAACAGTGTCAAAAGTCTTACTGAAATCTAGGTAAGCAATGTCTACTGCACCACCCTGATGTATTATTTTAGTAACCCAATCAAAAAATCGATAAGATTAGTTTGGCACGATCTCCCTGAAGTAAACCCATGTTGTCTCTGATCTTGAAATCCATGTGTTTTTAGATGTTCAACAATCCTATCCTTTAACATGGTTTCCATCACTTTCCTCACTACTGAAGTAAGGCTTACTGGCCTATAGTTGCCCGACTCCTCCCTATTACCTTTCTTGTGAATGGGCACAACATTCGCTAACTTCCAGTCTTCTGGGACTACTCCTGTTAACAATGATTGGTTAAATAAATCTGTTAATGGTTTTGCTAGTACACCACTAAGTTCTTTTAATAACTTTGGGTGTATTCCATCAGGTCCCATTGACTTATTTGTCTTTACTTTTGACAGTTGAAATAGAACCTCTTCCTCTGTAAACTCACATGTAACAAATTACTCATTTGTCCTTTTTTCTAACCGAGGCCCCTTTCCTTAATTTTCATCTGTAAATACTGAACTAAAATATTTATTTAGGCAGTCAGCTAGACCTTTATCCTCTTCTACATACCTTCTTTTATTTTTAATCTAACTAATCCTTGTTTTACTTTCCTTTTCTCATTTATGTATCTAAAAAATGTTTTGTCCCCTTTTTATACTGACTGTGCTATTTTCTCTTTTGTGCAGTTACATGCAGTGTGCTCCAAGGTGAAGGTCCAATATCATAAATATTAACAGGATAGAAAATTGTGGGTGCATGACTCTGAGGATAGAAGTAATATCACACCCTTTAT